GCTCGCTTCCTGATATGACCTCAGCTGTTATAACTGGAGGATCTCAGGATCTCACTGTCACTGAGGTTGGCTGTGGTACTTTTGGGGGAGCCCTGGTCCTTACTTTGAACATCACTTCTTGGCTCCACTGCAGAACCCTCAACCCACTAGCACAACTCCTTCAGCCCGCTGGCATAGACTTTCTGGCTTCCACTCCTGAGCTTTAGGCCTTCCCAGGGCAGATCTGCACAGAAGACTTCCATGAGTCACTGTCATGGCTCTAGGTCTCTAGCTGGACTCACGCAGGACATTGCCACGGGAACCAGGCCCTTGGGTGAATTTTCTAGGTTCTGGTGTGTAGACAAATTTCCTACACTTTTTATATTTGACTCTGGGTGACTAGGATAAAATACCACCATAAATTATGTGTCCTGTATGTAATCATTTTCCTTGCAACCCCCTAACTACAACACCGGCTGTATCTCTATCTCTATCTCTGTCTCTATCTCTATCTCTATCTCAGTCTTTCTTCTTGCAAAACATTCCCACCAAACATTGTTTGGTGGTGTCCACAGACTTGACCACGCAGGAACAGAACCAGTGAGAAGGGAAAGGCAGCGCGGCCATACGGAAAGGCGCTGGCAGAATGACTCCGTCAGCAGGGGAATGTCAACTTGCTGTCGTTGGTATCAGACATGGTGGTGGAGCCCAGGTGGAGCAGGAAAGCCTGGAGGTGGCACGGTTACTGGGGCTCCTGGTGGTGGAGTCCAAGGTGAGCAGCACAGACAGCTGGAGGAGGTGCAGGTGGGTGGGAGGAGCCCTGGCGGGAAACATGGAGGCAGCTGGCTAGCCTTGGTGGCCACTTCAGTAGCAGATCTTTCAGGAAGGACCTGGCCGTCGCCGTTCTCTTTGCCCCTCGTCTTGCTTCTGCTCTGCCAATAGCCATCGTCTGTCCAGTAACGTCAGTTGCACCAGGTAACCTGAGGTCAGGGGACCCCAAGGCTGGCACTGGCTCTGCTGGCGGTCGTGCTGGTCTGAGGCTGAGACGAGGTGCTGTTCCAGCTTGGTCAGGGCCAGGCTCAAGCAGAGATGGAGGAGAAGGGAGGCCAGCATTTGCAGAAGGCAGCACTGCTCCTCCCTGAGTTTCCACTCCTCCTCTACTGCACCCTGAAAAGACTCGCTCGGCCCTCTGACTTCCATAGTGCAGTCTTCGGTTATGATTTTTTTGTTTTTGTTTTTTTCCAAACCATTTTATTCAAGGTTAAAAAGAAGAAGAAGAAAAACTACATCAAAATTTCCAGACATGGCAATCAGGGGGCAACAATGATACCTACACTGCCCGTTGTCATTCTAAGTCACTCACCCAGAGCACAGGATGCCTGCATTCGATTGTCTGAGCAATACCAGAACAAATCTCTCTCTTCAGTGAGCTCAGAGAAATCAGTAGCATAGGTATCTTAACTATTTTTATATACATGTACATACACATACATGTCTTTTCTTTCAAAAAATGTCTCACACCAGTGAGAAAATGCACATGCATCTTATTATTTCACTAATGAGTACGGTCTCAAGTTGCATCTGTTTACCTATAAAAGTGTCCAGTTTATCCTTCTTTATGGCTGAATAGTATTCCATTGTATGGCTGAGGAGTACTCCACATCTTGTTTACCCATTTTTCAGGAATGCCATTTGGGTTGTTTCCAAGATCTGGCTCTTACAAATTGTGCTGCTGTAGACGTGGGTGCGCATATATCACTGTGGTGTGATGTTTTTAATTCTTTTGGGAAGATATCCAGAAGGTGAATTGCTGGGTTGAATGGGAGCTCCAATCCCAGTTTTTTGAGGACTCTCCACCCTGATTTCCACAGTGGCTGCACCAGTCTTCACCCCCACCCACAGTGGGGAAGGGTTCCTTTTTCCCCACAGCCCCTCCAGCATTTGTTCTTACTTGATTTCTTTATAGTAGCGATGCTTCCTGGGGTGAGGGGGAATCTCAGTGTTATTGTAGTTTGCGTCTCTGGAATGACCAGTGATGCTGAACATTCTTCACGTTTCTTTGCTGTTTGTGTTTCTTCATCTGAGAAGTGTGTATCCATCTCAGATGCCCATTTTGGATTGAGTCTTTAAATCTTGGAAGACTGATTTGTTTAAGTTCTTTATATGTTCTCCATAGTAATCCTTTGTCTGAGGAGCAGTTGGCAAACACTTTTTCCCAGGTTTTGGATGTCCCTTCATTCTGTTGGTGGTTTCTCTTGCTGTGCAAAAGCTTTTCAGTAGGATGAGAACCCAGTTGTTGATTCTTTGTGACAGTTCCTGTGCAATCTGGGTTTTGTTCAGAATGTCTTTATCTATAACAATATCTACACCTATTCTATCCTCCAGCAGATTTAATGTTTCTGATTAACTATTAAGATCTTTGATACGCTCTGATTTTAGCTTAGTACCTGATAAAACAATATGAGCCCAGTTTTAATCTTTGTCTGTATAGAGCTAGTTTTTCCAGTTACCATGTATTAAAGGGCCTATCTTCCTTCCAGTGAATGTGTTTGGCACCTTTGTCAAAGATAAGGTGGCTTAGTGTGTCTGGGAGTTGTTTCTACATCTTCTAATCTGTTCCATTGATCTTCAGGTGTGGCTTTTTGTTGTTGTTTGTTTGTTTGTTTGCCAGGACCACACTGTTGTTTTTTTTTTTTTATCATAGTGGCTTTATAGTATAATTTCAGGTCAGGGATTGTGATGCTCTGTCTTGTCTTTCTTGTCCAGGACTGCCTTTGCTATTCTAAGTCTCTTCTCATTCCAGATGAATTTTAAGATTGTTTTCTCTAATTCTGTGAGATAAGCTGTTGGAATGTTGATTGGGATTGCACTGAATCTATAGAACAGTTTTGGGAGTGTGACCATTTTTACTATATTGATCCTTCCTACCCAACAGAACGAGATATCTCTCCATTTTCTAATCTGTTTCTAATCTAATCTTTTCAACCTCCTTTTTTCAGAGTTCTATAGTCTTCGATATAGAGATCTTTGACATCCTTTGTTAGATTGATTCCTACATATTTCACTTTTTTGGATGCTATTGTCAAAGGTATTTTTTCCCTGATTTCTCTCTGTGAGTTCGTTATTTATGTACAGGAAGGCTACTGATTTTTTTTTTTTATCGATACCGGGGATCAAACTCATCACCACGCACTTGCAAGGCAGGTGCTTATGCCACTGAGCTAAATCCCCAGCCCCAAGCCTGCTGACTTTTGAGTGTTGACTTTGTAAAACGTTCCTGAACTTGCTTGTTAGATCTAGAAGTCTTTTGGTGGAGTTTTGGGGTCTCCTATGTAGAGGATCATGCCATCTGTAAATATTGATAGTTTAACTTCTTCCTCACCTATCTTTATTCTTTTCATTTCTTTTTCTCCAGCTAATGATTCCAGAGCTGTGTCCAGGTTAAGATTACAGCGGGGGTGCCATCACTCCGCTTTCATGTCTCCTAGAGTGACAGAATTGCAAGGCTGACATGGTCAACTGCCCTCTCCAATCTCTTCTCCAGCTCGGGGGCCCGGGGTGCCAGAGGGGTGCAGGCACACAATTGAGGGACAGAAGAAAGCGCAAGTCTCAAATCCCCCCCTTTCCCCCCTATTATCTGTTTTTTAATTTTGCTCTTTATACTTTACTTCTTCCTAAGGAGAAACCACAGCACAGCTAAGCCTGGGCGCATGGTTTAGCCCCTTAGCAGTGTGGTCTCAAGGTGCCTCCATTGGCCTCCAAATGGCTTACAGGTACCCTTTATAAGCAGACTGGTTCTCCGCTGGGTTAATCACCAGCTTTTCTTCATCCGTCTGTCTATTGATGGAGTAGAAGGTGCTTCCAAGCTGTTATGAATCGTGCAGCTACAAACATGGGTGTGAATGGATCACTGTAGCACGATAACATAAAATTTAGGAAGATACCAGAAGGTGAATACCTGAGTTGAATGGACTTTCTAGTTGAGTGTTTGACTCACCTCCATACTGATCTCCAGGCAGCTGTGCTGGTTTGCCTTCTCCCTGCAGTGTAGAAGGCTCTGCCATCCCACCCCCCAGCAGCCTCACCAGTGTTTGTTATGATTTGATTTCTTGATAATGACCATTCTTTCTGGAGTGAGATGGAGTCTCAGTGTTGTTTTAATGGCCAGAAATGCTGAACATTTCTTCATGTATTTATTGGCTATCTATATTTCTTCTTCTGAGAAGAATCTATTCATTTCCCCATTTTTTGATTAGGTTTTTTATTTGTTTGTTTATTTGTTTATCTTTTTTTTTGTCTTTTTCCTTTTTATCGGTACCAGGGATCAAACTCACAACTGCCTGCTTGCAAGTCAGGCACTTATGCCGCTGAGCTAAACCTCCAGCCCCTATTTGTTTATCTTTTGAGACAGGGTCTCGCTATGTAGTTCAGGCTGGTCTTGGGCTCAGTTTGCAGCCCAGGCTGATCTCAAACTTGCAAAATCCTCCTGCCTCAGCCTCCTAACTTCTGAGATTACAGGAGTTGTGCCACCATGCCCAGCTGATTAGCTCTTTTATTTGGGAGGTGGGGCTCTCATTTTTTATTTATTTATTTTGAGACAGAGTCTTACTATATAGTTCAGGCTGTCCTTGAACTCACTAATAGCCTAGGCTGGCCTCAAACTCACAGGGACCCTCCGGCTTCAGCCTCCCAGGTGCTGGGATCACAGGCACACATCATCACACCTGGTACTGTATTCCTTATATAGCCCAGATATGCTTTTCTGCCCAAGAAATAGCCGGCAAAAATGGTTCCCATTCTGTAAGCTGTCTCTTCATTCCGTGGGTCATTTCCTTCATTGCGGGAAAGCTTTTCCATTTGATGTGATCCCGTTTGTTAATCCTTGATGTTACTTCTTGTGCAATTAGGGTTCTCTTCAGAGAATCTGCCTCTGTCCTCCAGAGCTTTTCCTGTGTTTTGTTCTCAGTCATTGCTGCCTGTTTCCTGCCTTGTCCTGCCTAAGAAGTGAGACACTCACACCAGCCTCCGTGGCCTCTGCAGCATGGACAGGCCACAGTCTCAGCAAGTTCGGACTTCCAGTACCCTGAGGCGCCCTTCTTCACTGAATAGGATGGTAGCACCTGACCTCACAGAACCGCGGCTGTGGGATCCTCGTGTTCACTACCCTTCACGCATGAAAGATAAGGCCACTCAGACACCCAGCTGTTGGGCAGAAGAGGGACCAGAAGAGAGGTCCCGTCAGTGTTCTGTGTCATGGGCGAGTGCTGGTCAACTCACAGAGATGGCCAGACCGAGGCAGCGGCCACAGGTCGGTCAACAGAGCAGAGGAGACAGCCAGGAGGAGAAAGATCGACAGTCGCATCTCCGTGGCATCAGTCACACTCAGCCCACTGGATCCCGGTCAGTCCCTATGCCACTGTCCAGCTTATCAGCGCCCTGCAGTGTGGAAAGAGTAAGCCCTGAGTTGGAAAACATATTCACTAAAGAAAATATCGGGGCGGAGGAAGTGTTTGAGCCTTTGGACATACCAGATGGCCGGAGAGCCCCGCCACCTGCATGGTCCGGGAGCAGCAGCCCTCAGAGCACCGGCACTCAGAGTCCTGAGCAGGAGCCCGGCAGCGGCCATTCGCCTCGTGTGGCCCCGCTTGGTCCTCTGGGGTCCCAAGGTGAGAGCCCTCGCTCAACAGGAGATTTGGTGCATGACCGTGATAATGTCAGTGGGGGTAGCTCAGCATTACCCCAGGATGTTTCATCCCCCAAAGCAAGCAACAAATTCCGAAGGGAGCCTCCGGAGGGATGCCAGCCAGTGAAGGCCTTGAAGAAAGCGGCATCTCATCAGCCTGGCTCGGGCCCTGTCTTCTCCTGTCCCGACAAAAGCAAGGTTAATTTCTTCCCTACCGGATCAGTCTTCTGTCCTGTGAAGCGTCTAGGCCCTCCCCCGCCTGCCTCTGACCCCATGCTGGAGAACTCTCCTAATTCAGGCCAGGATTCAGCTCTGGTGAGTGGGCTTTCACCCCCAGACCCCCTCACATCTCCATCTGGTGACATCAGCGCAGCGGGCCCCACAGGAGCTTCTGTCCAGCCGCAGCAGCTCTCGCAGGAACCGCAGGGTGAGGAGCACATTTCTGCTCAGAACCACCACGGCGCCATCTAAAGCAGAGGGAGAGCTGGCCTCAGCCCCACACTCCAAGGGCTGACCTCAGACATCTCTCTGCAGGCAGTGCCAAACTTTTCTGAGTCCCGCCACCAACACCAAAGTACTCAGCAGCATCATAAAGTGTCTCTGCACACTGATGGGCAGGGCCGGGTCTCCTGCTCAGCACACCCTGTGGAAAGCCGTGATGCTTGCAAGATGTGTGTCCTTCAGCATCCTAAGCGGAGACTGCATTTCACAGTGTGTTTGACAGATTAGTCCTGTGTTTTGCTCCAAATTCTTCAGTATAAATAAGTTCTCATATCAAAAAGACGCCTTCTGAATAGAAAATGTCTTGCTGTTTTGTCCTATGGAAAATACTGTACTTCAGAATTATACTTACAATCCATCCAGGTGTTTGTTTCTAATTTCTGTAAGACATGCAATGCACCAAAAACAAGGAAAAGGCCACGAGTGTTGCACAGCACCCACCCACGGCCCAGCTTCAGGTGCTTCGGGGAAGTCTAACTCAGGTAACTTGGAATGTATGTCATATCAGAATATTAACTATTCCACAGCTACAAAGCCAAAGCGGGAACGCCACTGTTTTGCCTCCTTTCCTTATTTGTGCATTCCCTTCCCTGACTGCATCCCATATTCTCAGACTAAGAAGGGCATCCCAGCCTGGGTGAGAGCGCCCTGGCCACGGGTGAACTCCAGGAGAACGGCATCCTTGGTGTGTGACGTCACTTTCGTCGTGGGGCGACGAGACAAGCAGCCAAGTTGCATTTCCTGTTTCGACACGTGTAAGTGTGGCCTTTTTAAAAGTTCAGGTGCTGCTCAGTTAATGACTGTTACAATGTTGCAGGTAACATTCAGTACCCGACTGTACATAAAACATTGCACTCCACGTCTGATGAAATTTAAAGACAACAATGTCTAGGTTTAATTTCAAAACAAGCAAGATTTCACAGGGGACGATTGAAGGATTTTAATGCCTTGTTGGCCATCAGGGTCCTAATTTTTATCTGAAGACATATTCATGTTTAGTTTTTGCTTTGGGAAATTCTTTAATTTGCAGATTAAAGCATGACGCACACTTTTCGTTTTTCTCCTGCAGTTTAAGTGTGTGAGTTGTGCTCCCGTAAAGAGAATACCTGGTCTCCTTTGCATAGGTAGGTTATTTAGTCACTTGGAAAACACAGAAGTGTGAAGCTGTCTCATTTAGTCCTCACATAATACTATCGTGAAGAGTTGAATCAAATTTTTGAAAATAAAAAAATAAAATAAAATAAAATTTTGGATGCAGGGCCAAGGGTCTAGCTCAGCAGCACAAGCGCCTGCCAAGCAAGTGCTCGTGAGTTCAATCCCCAGTATCAAAATAATAATAATAAATAAATAAATAAATAAAATTCTGGGTGTGTGAAGTAGAGAGTAAATCCAAGTGGACAGCTTTGCACTTGTAGACTTGGCATAAGTTCTCCACAGCCTGTGAGGAGGGTCCTGGCATTCTTGATTGGTCAGTGGGAGGGCTGGACTCCCAGATCACGTCTTCTGAGCATGGAGTGTCCACAAGAGAAGGTTTTGTACTTTTATTCCATTGTTTTCAGCTCAGTGAAACCTAAGGGTCACCTCACCCGCACCTGAGGGTGTGTCACGGGTTTTCCTTTCGGAATTCATGGGACGAGGTGCCCACGGGCAGAAGCCTGTATCAGTTCCCTTCGGTCCTTCCTAGGATCTGCTGCTGCTGTTTTAAGGAGACTGAAGGAGGATGCTGTGACCCACAAGGATGTGATACTGTTGGCTTTTAAAAGAAACCTTTTACATGTGTGTGCATACGCTCGCGTGTGCGCGTCCAGCGTGTGACTGTGTCGGGACTTTGCTCTCTCCTCTCCCCCGAGTCTGCAGTGATCTTCCCTCTCGAAGACGCGTCTGGTCCCTGCTAGTCAGGCAGCGTCGTGGTGCTGGAGACTGTTGCACAGAAAAGCTCTCAGTTTACTTTTGCCTTTTCACTGTGGAATCTTTTGAAACAACCTTTGCAGCAGCAGCAGCAGACACCTTTAACCCTAACAACCTCAGGCTTTGATGAAAATACTGTATTTTGCAGATTATGGTTAAAGGGAGAGAATTTCTAGTTCAGTAAAATAAATGTGAGTTCCATTTAACTTGATACCTAGTTTAACATTACATGATACGCTGCTCTTACGCTGTGCTTTTATATGCAACAGGGCCGGGATTTTGCTCAGCAGCATGAGCCCCTGACTTGCAAGTGCATGGTTGTGGGTTCAATTCCCGGTACAGAAAAAAAAAAAAAAAGATGAAATAGTGTCAATATCAGTTTCAGAAAGATGCACTCGATATGCTTTTTTTGGTGATGAAATCTGCTATATGCTATTTATAGTGACATGTGCTTTTGTTTTCTCATGAGAAACTAAATATCGTGTTGTACATGTGTTCTTAGCATATATTAAAGTTTTGAACCAAATGTGTTAAAGCTTATGCTTTGCCATGTAAATTTCCCAGAAGTTGTTGAGCTTAAACGTATCCTACATTCAGCTGTAGAAATTTGTCAGAAATTTCTTAAATGTTGTGTGTGGTTATACTGTCTAATTTTGGCCACTGCACTGAGCAGAATTTGAGTTATCATACAATACAGCTTTACATGGCAAGCTGTGTGGCTTCTGTTATGTATTTTTGCAGTGTAGAGGTTCCTATATCTTATTTAAATAAAGTTATTAGTAAAATAGTGGGGGAAGTAGTTTATTTTCTCTTCTAACAGATTAAGTGTTTCTGTTTTAACATTTAGATCTTTAATCCAGTTTGATTTTAGTTTAGTGCCTAGTGAGAGACATGGGTCTAGTTTTAATTTCCTGCAAGTGGAAGCCAGTTTTTCTAAGCTAGGCATCTAGTGCTGTAAATCTCTGCCTTCCTACAGTACAGGAGACATAACTCAAACTCTGGTATATTATATTTTAATTTTCAACCAGTGGGAAATGCATTTTACTTTCCCTGTTTGGTCCTCATGGACTCATGAGTTATTCAGAATTGTGCTGCTTCATTTTCAAAGTGTTTGCAAATTTCTCAGGTGTATCTTTCTGTTATGGGTTTCTAGCTTAGTCTCATGATGGTCAGAATATATTCCATGTGATATGTGCCTTTTAAATATACCAAACCTTGTAATTTTAATAATAATGTTACTTGCGTCATATTCCTAAGTCAGATGCTTTGGGACATAGTCAATAACAAAATCCTGCCATTCCTTGATGCCCAAACTCCCTAGCAGAAAAGACAGTAACCCAAGTAAGTTAAATAAGAGCATATTTCAAAATTGGAGTGAAAGGAAGCATTTGATACTTGAGGTAGAACAGAATAGTGTTTAGGATAAAATCATTTAAGTGGGATTTTCCAAAATAAAGCTAAGTAAGATTTCCTTTAATTTTCATTAAATTGCATGTGTGCATTTTATTATGTAAAGATTTGAAAATTTCTAAAGAAAAATCTATCAAACACTTAGAAAAGATTAAACATTTAATTGACTGGATAGAATAAAATCCATGATGAGACTGTCCTCAGTTTTGCAAATCTGGATGTTGTATCCTGGATAAAAAGCTCATCAGAACTAAGTACTTACTATGCCACTTAATATGCTTGATAAAAGAGCAGTCAGCTATTGAAAAATTCATTGTGTATTTTCCATTATGAAATACTGGGAAGGTTCTGCACCATGACATAAATGAAAAAGTCATGATTTCCGTGCATGCAGTCTGCAATCTAGCACGACAAAATGTGGAAGCAGGGGACTGTCGTGTGTGTGACGTGATACCTAATTGAGTTATGCTGAAAATAGTCACGTAACACACAGGTGAAAGCCAGTAACATGGCTCAAGAGTTAAGAATCAGAAAGAACCTGCAGGATAAACAGGGTTTTCCTTCCAACTCTCTGGTCACCTTTCACCTGGCAGAGATTAATGTAAGAAAGAAGCACTTGTAAAAACAGAGAAGGCAGCGGGAGATGTAACTCAGTGTGCAGGGCTTGCCTGGCATTCTGAGGCCCTGGCATCTGCCTCGGTGTTCACCAAATGAACAGGTAGTCCAGAGGCATAGATGATACACAGATAGATGGATAGATAGACAGACAGACGGAAACAGTGTTGCCAAGTTTCTCTGAGTTTATCTGGTTGCTAAGTGCCTCGTGACTATATTTCAAAATAATGCCCACATGTTTTTGAGAGTTGCAATGAGATTCTTAAAACCTTGACAATCCACCTGTCTTCTGTCATCATAGCCAACAGGGCTGACCAATATTTTCCTCCATAGAAAATGGTAGAACCACACGCACACACACACACACACACACGCACACAGACACGTACTCTTAAGTTTACGTTGATACCCTTTGCATGGTCTAAGAACATCTGGCTTCTCCTGATGTATTTTTTCCCTTCACCTCATGATGTAATAAAATGTATCCTTAAAGCTATAGATTTGCTTTCTGTTAACTTATTTTCAGCTGGGATTATGTTTTAGAGCTGAAATTTGATAATAGTTTCTGAAATCTTCAAATTAAAAAACATTTTGCTATGAAACTTTGTACCTACTGCCTTAGTTAAATATTGTCTGTGCTTTAAAATAAAAATAAATATGCCAAGCCTTGTTTCATGGCTCAGAGTATGATCTATCACTACAAACGCTCCATGTGTCTTCCGCTGCTGTGGCTTGGAGGGCTACAGCCAGGAGGACCTTCACCTCCTGGTCCAAGCTCACCACACCTGTCCTGGCTTCCTGCCCACTTATTTTGTCAAGCATTGAAAGAGACAAATTGAAAAGTGCAACTCTAACCGCAGACTTGACAATTTCTCCCCTACAGGTCTTGTAAGTCTGAAGCTCCGCTGTTAGTCACAAGAGATCAGAAGTCTCCTGTTCAATTGATTAAGACTCCCTGAGCTCTCTCAAGTGAACTTTTCTGAAATCTACCAGTATGGTACTGCTACGGCTTTTTCTCCCTGGTGCAGAGGGTGGAA